TGTGTCTTGCCATGCAGTAAGGAACATGTCACTTTTTTGAACCCACCTCAAAAGATATGTGGACCCCACTCAAATTTAGGCTCAAAATTGACCCAAAATAAGCCTATAAAAATCAATTTTTCAACATGTTACGAATGCAGATTTGTGCATTTGTAATCTCTGATATATCCTAGTTTGTGTCAGATTTGTGCATATGTGCATAACAAGGTCACATGCTAGCCTAGTTTTTCAACCTCTATATTATACTCTATGTTACACCTTTTCCCCCTTTTTTTGTTTCTTATGTATTTATTATGCTTTTTTGTTGCTTTGTAACACAGAGAAGTTGAATTTGAAAAGTGCAAATGAATATAAATACATGAGGCAAAGCAATTGCTATTCAATTTTTGGGGTCGATGATGCTTGACAGTTTCGCATTGTAATGGTATTTTCTTCTTGTCCTTGTTCTTATTATTATGAGCACAGTTATAACCATCAATGCTTTTAGAGTCTTATTTTTCCCTTTCCCTTTCAAGTTTAGAAATAGGGGTTGATTTATATATGTCTTTTCTCACTCTTCGGGAAGCTCTGGATATTGTTCATGCTAAGTCTATATCAAAAGGAATTTGGGGTGCTAATTTTTTGTTTTTATTTTATTTTTATTGATACCTTTACAATATTGGTTTGCCATATGTTCAAAAGAGTTAAAATTTATTGGCTATCTTTGGAAATTTGCATGTGAGGTGAATTCTTCTTACTGGTGCCTTCAATTTTATATTGGTTGGCAAATTATATCTTGAATTTGGTTTTTAAGCATATTGGAGAATTTATGCATTCAAAATTGGCAAAATTTCACCTCATAATTCACTTGCTTTTACTCTCTTGCCTTGGTGGTTTATTTTCTCTCTCTCTGTACTTGGTGTTTTCTCATGCTTTCACTTGTCACCCAAATTTCAGCTATAAAGCTGATGTGAAGCATTTGTTTGTTTATTTGTTTTGTTTTTTTGATGTTTTAATTGAGCAAGTGGAAAGTATAGCTGAAGCAACTTATTTTAAGTATTTCAATCGAAGTTTCTTCCCAATATTTAAGAAATAAGGTGAATATGAGTCATCTCTGCACCTCCCATTTGGAAGTCAAGCTTTATTATATGTGTTTGTGTGTACATATATCAAACCCCCAGTTGATATAATGGAAGCAACAGTATTAATTAGGCTGCTTGATTATATTCTTACATGCTGCATGATTATTGCATTGAAGCACGTAGCTATTTTAACATTGATTGTTATAATTTGAAATGTCATTTTTATTGAACAAGTGTTAATGATTATTTTTTTTAATTTTTTTTTCACAGATTGCTTTTGCGTGGGTTGTCGTAGATATTTATTTTTGTGTATGAAGAGCATTTGTTCTGTATATAGTAGACATTTATTTTTGTACAATCCTCTGTTTTGAAAATCTAGTATTTTTGTATCTAATATTTAATTTAGATGATTAATATTTGGTTGGTATGGATTTATATGATATTTAGAATAAGATGTTACAAGTTAATGTTTTTGGATAGTTGATAATGAAATGAGTATTATTGATAATGGATTTAAATTATAATTGATAGATGTATTATGCTGTATATGTATATGTTATATGTTGCATTGATAATGGAATGCATATAATTTAAAAATTAATGAAAAATATTCAATTTGTGCATTTAAAAAAAAATTAATAAATAGAGCTTTTGGCGACTAAACATTTAGTAGCCAAAAAATAAAAAGAGAACTTATTGGCGACTAAACAGTTAGTAGCAAAAAAATAAATAAAAATTTTTGGCGATTAAAAAATTAGTAGCTAAAAAGGAGCACTATTATTTTAGCGATTAAAAGGTTGGTAGCCAAACAAGAGTGTCACGTTTTTAGCGACTAAAAAATTGGTAGTCAAAAAGAAGTGCTACGTTTTTAGCGACTAAAAAATTAGTAGCTAAAAAATTGAAGATGGAAAATATTTTTTTTTGGTGACTAAATATTTAACAAATGGCTTTTGGAGACTAAAAATTTAGTCACCAAAAGTATAATTTGTTGCAATGTGTGTGAAGTCCACATCATAAGTAGTTCAAATTTGTGAAGATCTTGTAGGGGTGAGGGTCTCAATCATTACTCTTTTATCAAACATTTGAATGAGTCCAATGACTACAGCATATATATGTATGTATATATATATAAATAATGTCTAGCATAATCTCATTCAAATGTTAATAACTTATTCATATCTTGTATTCATGATATCCTTAGTCGAAAGTAGAGGTGGACCTCTCGCGATGCACCGAAGGTGCATTGCAATCCTGACGAGTCAGGATTGTGTCAAAATTAGGCCAAGTTTGGCAACTCTTAAAAAATTCAAAAAGTCAAAAAGTCACTAACCTATTTAAATCACATCATCTTATTTAAGTCACATCACCTCTCTAACACATCACTTCAAACCCAATCCAAACCCAACCCATATTTCATAAAAAATCAAAAAGTACACTTATTTAGTCTTCCCAAACTTGGCCTAAGAGTATTTATGAGTCTGTAATGTTAGTTTTAACCAATTAGTCTTTACCTTATAAATTATATCAGTTTATACGTTTTAGGGTTAGAACGAAATAGAGAAAGTCATGGAGTGATTTGTAAAACTTATTACATATAGTGGATTTTGATTGTTTCTTCACCATGAATGTAGGCATCTCGTCGAACCACTTATATCTTATGTTTGTGTTTGATTATTCTTTTCGTTATTATTTATTATGTGATTAAAACCAGATTATTGCATAACAAACTTATTATTTATGGTGATGAGATTTTCAGTTCTATTTAGATTTCGGTCATTCAAATATAGTCTTTAAGTAAAGACGTGGGATCGAATTGACACAACATACAAACTTTAGGATCATGATTATTTTTTTATAATTCCGTTAATAACTTAGATAATCGTTCAAAATTGAACCAAAATACAAAATTAGTAAATTTATTGGAACTTTGTTTGGAAAGAGTTAATTTAGCCTAGTTTTTTAATTTTTTTTGACTAATTTAGCTTGGCTAAATTAATTCCGTTTGTGAAATTTTTTTTTGCCTTTTTTGGTTTGGATGTGATAATTGTGAGAGAAAAAATGAATGATTATGGTTTGGATGTGACATTTTATCTTATTAACTTATTTAGCTTATTTTGTATTTTTGTGCTTATGTAGACAAAAAAAAAATTTTTGTTGCCAAACAACAACTGATAAAATTGACAAAATTACAACTTAGAAAAGCCACAAAAACAACAACATTACAAATCCACCCTTATCATCCCAGAATTTATATATAAAAAAAGAATCAATGGTTCAAATTTATTTCATATGTAGATTTCACATTTCATCAATTCAATATTCACCACACAAACACATTTAGTATAAATTCAGGATCCATAAAAATGGGTTCAGAGCATTTTTTCCCCATAAAAAACATATTTGAGGGATCATGAATGTATTTTATCTCCCACCTCCCATAAAGAAAATAAAATAAAATAAATGCACTACAACATATAAGAATTTTAGAGACCAAATGTTTTTATTTTTAAAAGTGAACATTTTGTTGTAAAAGGCATTTAAGGACCAATTTCTTTCTTCACGAGGATAGTCGCTAAAATGTCGTCCCGAAAAGTCAAAAACAAAACTTTTAACGACAAAATTTTGAAAATGTCACTAATAAATAGACTTTTAGGGACAATAATTTGGTCTCAAAATGATTTCTTTTTTGAGATAAAAAATTTGGTCCAAAAGAATAATAATTCATCACTAATGTCTAATTTTCGTTGTTAAAAATATAATGACACTTTTCGTAACAAAAATATTTGGTCCCTAAAAAATAATTTTATCCTCAAATTTTGGTTTCTAAAACCTTATTTTATTTATTTATATATATATATATTTTTTTGTAGTGAGGTTTTGATTACACTTTTACCCCTACGGGTGTGTTTGTTTGGACGGACTGGATAAGGAGAGATTGTAATCCATTGGACTATTAGTCCTGGGATACATTGTCCCGGACTATTTGGTTGGATTAGATTTATATCCTATGTTTGTTTAGTCATAGATTAAATTTTTGGATTGGACTATTTTTAGTGAATCCAGTGTTTGGTTAGACGGACTGGATAAGGATAAATGTTCAAAATACTATTTTACCTTTGTAATTTATAATTTTTATTTAATATATAATTTTAAATTTGTAATCTATAATTTATAATTTAACAACACTAAAAAAATTTAATTTATAAGGCCATAAATGACATGCATGAATGCAATTCTAACATGCAACCTAGCATACACAATGCTA